AATTAGATGAGAATTTAAGGCCTGTTAGAGCTATAAGCACTGTCAAGGTATATGAATAAAGTAATGACAGCACGACAATCGTGTGGTCAGCAAGAGCTCAGAGCCTGAACAACGAGACGTTTAGAGAGGACTTTGGCCAGTTTTGATGGCATTTAAGATGACTGGAGTCTTAAAATGCAGTCTTCAAAGTCTCCTATTGTCAAGCACTGGCTTACCCAGAAAGAGGACTGTAGAAAGTACATCAGAGTTTAAGTGTTTTATTTTAAATATGACATAAACCTACTGCACATCTTCGAAAAATGCAGCTAACTGACACTAACAGCTTTAGATTGTGAAAGGATGAAAAGGTCTGTACAAGACAATGTTTGCTTCATTATCTTCTTCCATGTATTACTAGAATAATAGGAAATGCTGCTGTTTTATCTGAGGAATGAAAAACAGGAATACAGTGCTTCAAAAAAGAATAGAAAAATAGAACAATTTTGGTGTCTTAGTGCATCGCACTGGCATTCAGGATTATGGACTACATTTGTGCCTGTTGATATCGCAGGGATGAATTTTGGCCCTATGAGGACACAATGCGGATGAGGGATCCTCAGCCAGGAGCCAGCAAGGGTGAATGAGGGCAAAACTTCAAATGTTTACAGGCAAATACTTCATTATAAATTTTCAAAATGGCCCAATGGATATATGCATGCTCTGTAAACGTTGATATACACCAAAATATGCACTAAGGTAGCTCTGCGGGCTTTGACACTCCCACGACACTGTGACACCCGGTAATGGTCTGCCAATGCACGTTCTTAGCCCACTGGCCATGCAACGCATTTTGGCGTAGCTGAGCCTACAGTGGCGGAGGCTCACACCTTAGACTTCATACTTCTTGTTTATATGGCCACGGAGAAAGTCTCGACCATGTTTCAACAAGATGGCATCTGCAAGTCCGTTACTGTGATATTATATTCTACATCAGATGTTCAGAAAAAAAGGAATCTGATAATCAACTGACCAATTCTGTCGGTGGAAATACACATTTTACCAGGTTTTTCTGGTGGGTTTCAGCTGAAACAGCTGCACAGAAAGAAGTTCATTTAATGAAGTCCACAGAAACTGCATATATTGCAATAATTCCTCTAATTTCCTAAAATCTGATGGTAAGCCAAATAGTTCTAAGATACTTAAAAGTAGCATTGGAACAAGAATTCAATAGAAACACAAGGTAACAGGCTAAATTGGGCTCTTCATTTCTGCTTAGATTTGTAAAAAAATATTTGATATTGCTAAGCTTAAAAGCCTTAAAGTTATTTAAGTGCCATTTACAAATCACAATTGATGTAAGGTATGCTCTATTGAAAACAATGAATGTTCAAACCAGGGTGAGATTATAGCACTGTGATTTATATTTCATTTTCCAGAATGTATTTGTATGTATGTATATATGATCCTATGCGTGCAGGCTAACCACAGCCATAACCCAGAAAGTATGGTGTTGGGAGCTTTGCTCTGAAAATCAAGTAGCCCATTAGGAGGCATAAATATTAATAGAGCTGTCTAATCCTACACTCTCAAATGAGGTAGATCGGATCAGGATTCTTTGCATTTAAAATGTATTCAGTGCACCGACTAGAATAAGAAACAGAAACCACATGTGAAGAAGTCACTGATGTTGGCCAGTCTCTTAGCCACTGATAATTCCTAAACATAAAATAAGGATCAAGTGATTTCTTTCCTTATTCTACTCCCAATTCCCCTGCAAATACTAATGTATCCAAAACTGCATGTACCTTGTTCCCCGGCAGTGAGTAAACACCATATTGTCTATAAAAACTACACCTCCACATTGTCATATTCAGATACCTCCAGACAGTATGAAGTCTGTAGAACAAGTCCGTAAGGCAGAGCATACTATCATCCCAAGTGCAGAACACACAATACCTGGGGTTTCTTTTAGAGGTCATACTAGTGATCATTTTCAAATTTTCTTTATCCAGTTGTCATTACAATAGGAAATCCATGGTGCAAACTGTTGCAACACAAAGAAATTAATATAGAGTATTAAAAACTCACATGCACGCAACTAAAGCAGGATGTACAATCCTCCCAAGAAATAAGAAGTTGCCCTGTCATGGATCACATTGACTATAACGTGAAATAGGGATGTGAAATACCAAATACGGTGCAAAACTATTCAGGTATTTGCTAAAAATGATGCAAAAGTTTGTCAAGAAATTCAGGAAATACCACATGGTCAACAGTATAATAATTATCAGTCAGTAAAACGGTGTTACCTATAATATAATCTAGGTTCTATTAAAATCTAGAATTAAGGAGTCTAGCCTCTAAAGTAAAGGCACAAAATTAATTTGATACCTTTACACAGGTTTCTTAAACCAGCCTTAGCAAACAGAGGGTTTTCTGCTGGTATGCATAGCCATAACGGAAATATAACCTCTGACCTTCATGTACATGAAGCAAAAAACACAAAAGCAGGTGATCTTTCTTCATCTATTGAATCAATCAATTGAATAAGTAGTAAACTGAAATATAGGCATCCGTATTGAGGAAAAAGCGCGCTGTATCACCTCATTCCTTTTCACCCAGTCTATCATTACTAAAATCCCACCAACTGACTGTAATGGTTATAATGCAGGTACAATCTCTGGCATGACTCATGGATAGAAGTCCTTTTATTTCTGCCTCTACTTTCATCAGATTACTCCCTGTTCTTCAAAATTTTTAATTTTCTCACACCCTTCAGCTGACAATTAAGTATAGACACCAATTATCTAATTCAAACTATCTCATGTAATAATCAAGTATTAAACAATATATATAATAGTATTCTGTTGCTTCAGTTTGAATTTATATATCCTTTACTAATTTTAAAATTTTGTAAAATTCTGCACCCTATTTTCATATTTTACTCTTATCAGTAATTTTCATCACTAAATGTAATGAAACAACAGCAACCTAAAAATTTATCACAAGAGAGTGTTGGCCTCTTCTTCTTTCTCATACAAAACCAATGCTATTTCCAAGCTGCTGTGATTGTATTGCAACTTTCTTCTACAACATGATTTCTTTTTCTACTGGGGATGGGGGAGATCCAAGCCAAGGATAATCTGAGGCTGTATACAGGTGAGCAGACCATGAGTTACTCGAACAGGGACAGCTATAGCTCTGCCAGGTGCCCAGGCTGAAGGTATTCAGGAGCTCTCTGTACTTGTCAATGGGAAAAGGTAGGCTTCTGCTGCTTTTTATTGTGCTGTGCATGCAATGAATTTAACTGGAAAGGTACCTACTGAATTTCAAATAACTCTCTATTCTCCTCCAGGCTCACAGGACAATAAACATGACTTTCACATCTGCAAGGCTCTCCCTCCCTTCAATTTTGCTCTTTTAATGATTTTTTTTTTTTTTAAATATTCTCTTATAGGAAAAGATGCTTTCTGAGAACAATGATGGAGATCTGCATCTTTATTTATGACTCTGTGAATCACTGTCTGGGTGATAGGAAGTGAAAGTTGCTCAGCTAATTACACACGCTTGATGAACTGCGTAATAACTGCTGCAGCACTGCACATTAATTGAACGCATATAAATGACAGCAGTTATTCTAACTTGAATGATGTGTGAAGAAGTGGTATTGCTCACAGTACCCTGATTATCTTTGTTTCCAACTTTGGGAATCCAGCTTAAACAACTGTATTAAAATTTGCTGAACAAAACTTCCCCGTTAGAAAGCATTAGAAGTTGCCTGAAATCCTGACGCTTTAAAAACAAATTGCCTTATGTCATTGAAAGTGGATTTAGACATGTAAAAAAGCACACATTGACCAACTACAATTAACAACTTAAAAGTACAACTAGCTAAAACTGATAGTCGTTAGGAACTGTAAGAGCAAAAACCTTGGAAAATAAGGCCACCATTATTTAGATGTCTAGAGAGCGCCTTAAAAGCCTAATACAGAGTTTACAGAGTTGAACGCTATCCATACTTAAACAATTTCCTGCTAAGGCACTTTCTTTAAACATCTTTCTTCTGCAATAGCAGGGACATATAGGAACAGGTATAAAAAAATATCGATTACAGCTAATAAACAACTGTGTATGTCCATGCTGCTTTCTGTTTACCCTAAAAAGTATTCTAGATTCAAATATAATCCAGCTCACAAATAGCATATTATTTTAAAGAAAACAACAAAGAAAAGTGATTTGCTGCAAAACAAATGTGTAAACTAATACAAAATTAGTACTTTAAACTAGTACCAAACACCTGCTTTAAATCCGTATGAAAATATACCTTCTATATCACACATCAATTGCTTCAGGCATTTGGAAATGTTCACAAAGAAATCTGCAAATTCTCTCATACTATCCAACACAGGAAGGGTAGAAGCCAAGTTTCCAAAGCTTCCAAAAGCAGCCTACTTTCCCAAGTACCATGTCACAATATTTTAACATTTCCCTATACCCCTATTAAGAGATTTTCAGCTTTACAAAGAGAGCTGTAATCACATAATAAAGGAAATCAGCGCTCACTCTTCTAAGCATGTAAACGAAAAAACGTGTTTCACATCTACGTTTCAGGGAAGTTAACTCCGTTCCAAGAAAACGGGGTGGATCACGTAGAACGTCAACGCAGATTTGCAGCTCCGCTTTGCTCTGAGACAGAGTAGCCATTGTGCTACAGCACTGGAATACAGAGCTGGGGAGCGGTGCCAGCGAGTTCAATGGCGAGGGTACCAGGCCCCAGGCGCAGGAGCTACCTCCTCTGCATGCATATACAACATACTGTACCTACATAGGAGCGACAGGCACGCTAAACCACCAGAAGCTGCCAAAAGGGTCAGCATGAGATAGTACAAGAGAGATGCTCAGGTGCAACGGAGTTCAGGCTTTAGAAATGTTATCTTCTCATCTTTGAGATGCTTTACACAGTCCTCTCTTTAAATACCTTTCTGGCTTCATTAGGACAAGACAGTCCCTAACGGTTCACTTCACAGCATCAGCAAATCAGCCTCTTTCAGCTGTATTATTGGTTCTTCCAAGGTTTCGATCTTTTCCCCCATTTTTGGTTTTATTTTGTCCACTTTATACATACCTCCTTTTCTACAAATTTTCTTGCCGGGTTTTCTGGCACATTCCTTGGATATTCTTTTGACTGAAAAATGAATAGAAGACTAGAAAATAACATGGAGCTCCATCACAGACAGTAGGAGCATGCAACACCACTATCTAACTTAAATATGACCTGCTTGATTAGGTGCGGAAGATTCTCAACTCGTTGTGCCTGCACATGCAATGGATAAGATGTTGATGCATCTTCCCAGAAGTCAGTGGGTGGCAATGAGAATTAGGTACCAACTTTGACCTAAAAATACACGTGCTGTGTAGAAAGCACAGAGAAAAAAAATGAGTGTAGACAGAAAGAGGGGAAAAAAAAAAATACAAAACCAAAAAAAAACCAACGAAGGACAGATGCGTACACAGAAAAGCAGCATGCACACATGTAATATGCTGGCATGCAAACAAAGAAAGCCATGCATGCTACCAGTACACAGGAATTAATATTGTTAGAACGTAGAACAGGAAAATTAAAAGATCTCCCTGTTTCGCCTGCTATTAACTCACCATCCTCGGTGGGGACATAGATATTTAAAAAGAGGCAGTCTTCATTCTGATCTTGTACATAGGTGGAAACTACATCCAGGTTATTAGTAAACCACACGGGAAGCATGACTTCAGGCAACCTGCCTTCTATAATGTTCTGGGGACACACTGGAGCAAACTGAGTGGTATTTTTGATATCTGCCCAGGGAGACGGAGGCTCAGGAGGTTGGAAGCGGCGCTCCCCGGTTGGAGGGGCAGCATACGGAACCCCAAGAAACTGAATAACGGGCCCCAAAATTTCATTATTAAGTTCCTTCTTAATCCCTCTTATCTTGCCAAAGTTGGTGGTCACCACTGGGTTGGTATCATCCAATTTTTGGGAGGACACAGCTGCAGCGTGAAGCAAAAATCCCAGCATACAAAAAGCAAAAGTGGCATTCAATCCCATGTGTAACAGGCGGACTACCATCGCTCTCCATACACAGTTCAGCCACATGGATCTTGGAAAGGCCATGGTCCCACATTAGTTGTGTAACTACAATGAAGCAATCTGATTTGTATCCACTGGTGTAAAAACAGGGCAAACCGAAGGAAACGGATCAAGTTTCCTAAACAGGTGCCTGTCAGAAAAATCTCAAAAGGCTTTTCATGCGGTAAGTATCTTCCATTGATTTCACACTTATTGAAGCTGCATCTTCACTCAGCACTATTTATCAGACTACATCCTATTGACAATTCTGTTTTCCATAGCAGCAATATGAAGAGAGCAGCCATTTACTGCAGAATCACCTCTTATAAATCAAATCCAGTTAGCCGCAGGTCTATATCCTGGAGAAAATGAAAATAAATCATTAGTATGAAAAAGCTAATATGAGCAGAGTGATAACTAGATGTTTCACAAGTTATTTACATACATTAATAGTTGCTAGAGTCATGTAAGTAAAACTGCAGTAGTTTATGGGTCCATGAAATGGTGGGTGAAACACTGATTATTAGATTATCTATAATGTCACCTGTTGAATTTATAGAGTTTTTTCAGAAGAAACAGGACTCACAGAAAATACATTTGTAAAATTCACCTTTTTAAGAATAAGCAATTTTCTGCCAGGCTCCATTACACAAGTGTTTACGATAATATTTTATTTAACTTAATCAGCTCATAATCAATTTTCATGTTGTTTGCACAAGGTGATTTATCAAAATGAAAGCAATTATTTCTTAAAGCAGAAGACAGTGAAATTAAGATAGACAAGCATACTGAAGACTCAAATGCATTTTATTTCATTAAAAGCAGATTATAATACATGCAAAATTTTTTTATGTTGTTGTTCATTTTAAAATACAGTTTCTGAGTAAAACATTGAGGCAACTGGAATATATTTGTAAGGATGACACAAATTACTGTGCCTATTCCTGAGAACCTGAGTTACCATACTTTATATGGTTTTCTTATTCCACAAGTTTCTGATAGCTGATGAAAAACACCTAGAGTGGAAATGCTCACATCAATGAAGGACCAAAATCTGCTCCCACTGAAGTGAATGGCAAACTCTCAATTTTTACAGTAGTGTAACTGGACTTCAGTGGGTTTTTTCCAAAACTGATTTGGAAAAGGATACGAACAGGCAGTTTAGGGATGCAACTGTGTATCACAATTTTTGCTTCAGACCAATTCTGCATTCCTTATAAACTGACAACTTTAGTGAAAAGTGAAAATGCATGTCAAATGTACTCAATCCTTACCATCCTTAATTTATAACATAACAATAAATGTTCCCACAGGACAGCAGAAATCTTATCTTCCATATACCCAGATACTGACTGAACAATATCCTAGAAAAATAATCAGCTCGGTTCTGAGACTGTGTAATCTCAAATTTCAGATTCTATTTTCAACTACTTCAGCTCAGAGGTTGTCACACAAGGCTCTGTTCCAGCACTTCTGAAAATTGCTCAGTGCATATCATTACATCTTCCATATTCATGTTAAACATATTTCCAACACGACTTACGATATCCTATTATTTAAGATGCAGTGTTATACACAACATAGCAGTGTAATCTTACACTCCCTATTAAGCAGTGTGTAATGCACAAGAAATGTGTTTTGCTTTGTATAGGAAACATTTTAAACCACCTGCTTTTGAAGCAGCATCGGCAGCTTTAATGAGAATTGTTTTTTTTATCATGTCTATACACATTGTAGAGAGAATTCAAAAGAACGGCTTGTCTAATAGTCAGACTACCCTGCAGTTTGGGTTATTAAAAAGGAGATTGTAAAAGCTATATAGGACAGCAGGAGATTTGGTTCATGTCTAGTGTTCCTTTAGCTCTGAACAATCTATCTCAGGAGGCAATAAGGAGATAGATGAAGCTTTTCCATAATTTTCTCTCTCCCTTTCTTTCTCTGCTAATTCTAACACCTTCACTGTGAAACTGCATTAACAAACAGGCTTATACCCTTCATACTCCAGCTTCAAATTCTCAGCATTTGCTGGAAACACACCAATTTAGCCACAGAAAATAATTCCCCAAACGATGTACGTGTTTGCATTTAGTTTAATAAACTTACACAGACTGGCATGCAGACAACTGCCTCTTGGAAGGCTTTTGCTTTGTTGCATTTCAAATTCTGAAGGTAGTAGGATATTACTTGAGAAATAGTAAAGACATAGTACAGGTGCCAGAGCAGAAGGCAGCTAGTACAACTTCCCTCTCCTGAGCTGATGCATGGCAAGGTCATAGAGAGGTGGAAGCTTATGCCTTAGCTGTATTCAAAAACCTCCACAAACCAAAAACTTTTCCATGAGGTCTTAAAATCCACAGTTTGTTGGGTTTGGTTTGGGGTTTTTTTTTGGGTTGGGTGTTTGGTTTTAGGGTTTTTTTTTCCCTATCAGGAGTGGAAAAATGTACTCTCTCTTCTTTCTGAAACTCCAACTTGTAAATAATAGGATCTTAACCTCAGTAGCCCTCCTGCTAATTTACATGGTCTGGGGAAGGTCTAAGGACAAACCAAATTCAACATAGCTGCGCCAAACAATAGCGTCCTTCTGCATTTCAAGCTGCTGAGATGGTTCAATGTTGAAAATTACCAAGGTGCTACGAATTCATTTAGCACTTTCACTCTAAAACTCTTAGACCTGTTTTCAGATCTAAGACAACTTTTTAATACACTTTTGATACCTAAGATGATTAATTCAATGTAAACAGAAATTCAAAGCAAATCCAAGAGCTGAGCTATAATTCTAAGCTTTTCCATCAGCCCCTTTGCCATTGCAGCTGAACAGCTCTGCTGTGATCTAAAGTTACGGTTTGCTGCCCATGGACAACGTTTTACTCTAAGAAAGAGACAGGAGGCGAAAAAGGTACGAATATAACTCAATGCTGTGTTTGGCTATTCTTAATTAATTAACTATTGGCTAGCAGATGAATAGACTGATAAGCTATACAAGGCAGTAAATCGTAAACCACTTGCAGAATTGGAATCAACAGATTTCCATTGTATTTATAACTTGAAGTTTGGATTTGCCTTTTTTTGTTTGTTTGTTTGCACAAGCCTTTATTTTTAAATGACCAAGTAATTGTTTGTTTTTGAGACTGAGAGGTCACACATTCAAGCCTGTCACTGGCTGCCCTGAAGGTATGGCATTGAAAACACAAACTCAGAGAAATAAAGAGACTGAGATTACTCAAATCTTTTGAGACTGATGTGCCAAAATTTTATTTCCAGCACTGGGTGGAAAGGCAAGCAGGGAAGCCAGTCTGGAGCATGTCTGACTTGTTGAGAGTCCATATTGGACAAAATTTTCCTTAGTCGTCCAGAGGCGACCGACAGAGAACTTCCCCTTGGTATCTGGACGTGACTGAACAGGGATCAGTGGAAAGAAACTGAAGCAGTAAACAGGAGCAGGAATCATCAGGAAGATGGGCAGGAGAATTGACCACAGAGTAATGATGACCAATTTGAGGCAACCTTCAGCATCAAAATATTGTGGATCTGAGAAGGAGGAAAAACGTTTTCAGATTTTATTATTGTCAAGATATGAGGATCACAATTGTTCCCTGTGGTAACACAAATGAATTCTACTTTAAAAGGTATTTGATAAAGTCTTTCATAGTCCTTGGAACAGTCTATACTATATGGAGCTTTTTTCTATCATCTATTATTTTATTATCTTCCTTTCTGAATTTAAATTACTTTATAGCTCAGATTTTGAGATACTTTAAAGAGGCATTTAGTATGCCGAGAAGCGAAATATCCGAGATAACCTGAGTGCATCTTTGCATTTCCAGTGACACAGGGCATCCCACAACAGGTCACATCTGTTGCAAGCCACAGCACCTAAACTCCTCTTTGTTACTTGTGGACAGAGCTTCAAATCTTCAGGGATGTCCTGAACCCCACCACCCGTCGATAGCTCCAAGGTATTAATAAAACCTTTGGTGGCACCCAAGGCTTCTGGCCATATGCCATCTTCAGCACATGAAAAGGCCTTGTTATGATGTTTTTACACAACCAGCTGTTTTCTTTTCAGCTGAAGATGTACTCTGTGATTTATTCATGCTCCAAAATTCCTTTCCACCTCAATTTTGCTAGTAAAATCCCAATTGCACAAATATTCACAGACTGATTGTAAGAGTTTTGAACACCACACAATGCCGCTTCATTTCAAAACACAAATGCCGTTTTGCGGAACCAACTACATTTCCATCCATTTTTACTTACAACGGTCTCTACTTAGAACTAAGATCCCAAAGAAGTCTCATGTCTCTAAAAAGAAACCTGTGTTGTAAAATACACTACGATGCCAAACAGGAACATGGCCAGAGGAACGCCAGCCATTAACAGAAAGGCTCTGACCCAGGGTGAACTCTAGGTCGGTGTGACACACCAGTTTTAAACTTGACTAGACAAATCCTCAAGAGACGTATCACAGAATTTCCCATCTCTTCTTTCACATTTCAAGTTAGCAAAGGGAAGCGTTGTGTCATATATGACATATTTTCTCTCTATGTACTAGTACAGTTTTTGAAACAGACCCTGCCCTTGGGTATTTCAATAAATACTTGGTGAAGGGAAGGGATTTACACATATTTAATTCAAGAAATGAACTACATGCATTTCACAAAACACAGGCGTGTGCAATGGTAATAGAGGAGACTGCAATCCTGAATACATACACCGGAGAAGGGTACAGCTCTAGTGGGGTTTGGGTCGCTCCCACATGCCAGCACTCCTCCACCTGAGTGCAGCCACAGGTCTGGAAGGTCCAGAAAGCAGCTGCAAATCCAACCCTACTGAGATGCACAACCCTGCCGAGATTGCCAGCAAAGGTATGAACAAGACGTTATTCTGGTGGTGTCACAGTCCCACCCGACATCAGTGCAAGATTAGAAGTGTTAGGCTACACGGGTCCGTAAACAACCCAGTGGTAGAGATTTCCAGATGCTACAAGCTGTGTAAATGCATCCCTCACAGATCAGAGAGACTGATTCCTCGGTGCCATTCTCACATTTACCTCTATTTGATATTAAGTTTCATACACAAGACCTTACAACCAGACCAGTAAAACCCACAATATTTAACTATGATATTCAACGCAGTGTAGCACAAACTAGTGAAAAGTTGAATTAAACTGAGTAGATGTTACAAGAATCATTTAAATTGCCATGCATTTTTCAGCCTCACTATATTTTTGTTCTTCCCTATTAGTGGGAATATTCACTAATGCTAACTCATTATTAGTTAGCATTTTCATGATCAAAAGATCCCTTTAAATAATTTCTGCAACTTAGTTTGCCAAAATAGGAAGGCTTCTGATCAT